AGCTGTCACAGCACACGGAGAGAAGTGGATCTTCATGAGTTTTCAGACTTTGGTCGAAGTTCGGTGACTGCCCTAAGGCTTTCTGTGCCCTAAGGCCCTAAGGCTTGTAGGGCAAAGTGCCGGGACTAGTGTGATGCCTGATGTGCACTACAAGGGAAGCTTATCATACAGGCTGAACCTGCAGCAAAGGCTGGCACATGGATTGTTTGCGCCCGACTTCACACTGACAGTGTCCCAAGGCTTTGCCCATCCTGTCAACTTCCACCTGATGCGAGACAGTCATGATATGGCTCCTGCATCCGAAATGCCCATGTGCGCCTTCGCAGTCCAGTGCACGTTGAAGGTTACAGCCAAGGATCAAGCACTGTCAATTGCCTATGATAGGTACAAGAATGAGTTCATTCTCAAGACTCCCAAAGAGCATGCGGAGGACAAATCGACGCAGTATGCTTGGCAGTGGACTTCGTGTATCCAAGACTTTTGTCGTTATACCATGTTATACCTCAGTACATCCACTGCCGCTGGACGTTTTAAGGCGGTACTGCGAACGTTATGAGCATCACGGAGGGTCTTGCAAGCACAGAGTGCCATGTCTTGAGCCTTCCCGAATGGTTTCGCCCGCTTGGTGCCAAGTCCCCTTCACAATGAAATCTGTAGACATCCCCGAGAGCTTACGACTCACTGGACACACGGTGAAGCGCCAGTGCCTTAACATGTCTTCATTTAGAAAGGCATGAAGTATGCAAGGGGACGTTCCCCAACGGCACCCTGGGTGGAAACTGGTGCTGTAGAGATTGCGAAGATACCAACAGGACAAATTTGCTTCGCAAATTCCGAACCAATCAATTACTCTCTAAGCGGTGCACAACAAATGGGAATGGACAGGAGTGCGTTCAACCCTAAGACCTAGTTTTTCAGAGGACGAAATCCTCAACAAATGCACATGAGCTGCCTCGCTGTGCTGCAGACTCTCGTCGCCAAGGTGACAGGCCTGAAAATGTTTGCGACTTGGCGAAAGCCACCTCATGGTCCGGGCGACTATCTGTACATTGACTCGGTGGGAGTGATAATCCTCAACGGCCAGGAGGTCCCATCCGTCACAACCATCGAGATGATTGTCGACTACGACATTCAAATCCCGGCACGCTTTACCGAGAAATTGTCGAAGTCCCGTGCTGGTACAAAGACATTACACGACGATCCTCCTTGCGAATGCCAACGATCCATGTCGTTCGGCCAACAGCTTGTGGCACCGGCATCGTCTATGTGATCCTCATCACAATGCAGATTTCTTCGGTGACGTTCTGACCCTGTCGATACTGATGTAGCAAAGTGCCGCAACATTTCTAACTGGGAATCTAGGCTCCATACAAAATAGTTCGCAAAGTTGACATTTTCTTTTTTCAAGTCCAATCCAATCGCAACTCTCTTCCTGTCTGAGCAGTGCCGAACTTTCGGCACTCATGGGGGGTGCGAACGGACCTTGATGCCTCGTCCAATTCGTGGGGTATCACGATAAGTGCTATGAGCAAAGCGTCACAGGCCTGCCTAGCAGACGGCTGGTACTAACATTACTACTTTGCAGAATGTACAATATACGATACCCTTTCAAATGCTCCGCCTCAAACGCAACTTTGTGGCTCAAGAAACTGCCATAAGTTAAGAGCTTACGACGCAGGTTGTAGGCATCTGGTCCAAGAATTCGAGCCATTCCCGCTGCACCGAACGTCGGCTAAGCATCGTCCTCTCCGAGAAAAGGAAGACTCTTTCGGAATAGTGAAGCCCACGACTACTACCTCAACTATTAGGCAGCCACATCTACATCAACTAGCTCTGTGAGGTGAGCAACCAAGGGAACAGCATTTACAAACCCTCATGCAGTCGTAGTAGTAGTAGTAGTAGTAGTAGTAGTAGTAATAGTAGTAGTAGTAGTAGTGGCAGCAGCAGCAGCAGGAGTAGTAGTAGTAGTAGTAGTAGTAGTAGTAGGCGTTGTAGGCGTAGTCGTAGTAGAAGTAGTAGTAGCAGTAGCAGTAGCAGTAGTCGTAGTAGAAGTAGTAGTAGCAGTAGCAGTAGCAGTAGTCGTAGTAGAAGTAGTAGCAGCAGTAGCAGTAGCAGTAGCAGTAGCAGTAGTCGTAGTAGAAGTAGTAGTAGCAGTAGCAGTAGCAGTAGCAGTAGTCGTAGTAGAAGTAGTAGAAGCAGTAGCAGTAGCAGTAGCAGTAGCAGTACTGCTCGACTACGACTACTACCTCGCCATGGTCGCCGGGAAATCCCCAGAGAGATTTGCCTGGTAGGAATAAGTTGTTGTTAGAAGCAAGTAGTGATACAGGCGTAATTGAGTAGTAGTGCCGTTGAGGCTGCTACCGAACTGGTGCTGCTGCCGCCGCTGCTGCCCTGCTGATGCCATCTGCTATCCCACTCCTACTAACTACGCTTGTCGAATGCCTGCTCGGTGGTGCACGCACTAAACTAAACACTCGTCATCACCGGCCCAACACCAGATTCTGTTTGCATCTGCTGGGGCATTCACCGTTGGATCTTAAGAAACCTTTCAACGAAAGGTGCTGGGAAAGTGGGAAACCAATGCACCTCATGACTTCTGTGTAAAGGTGCAGGCGTGGTCGGAGGAAAATGTCCTTCTGAAATCCGGTGTTTCTTGTGGGGTCCTTGAGTACAGACTAAGGGGTCGTTACTCCCCCTGGCTCCTCTGAGCACACCCGTGTGTTGCTGCTCCTTACTCTGCTGCCTTGCTTTCGTTTGACGTGTTGGAGCGGTGGAAAGCATTTGAAAGCCCCTCCTCGTCAGCATGTATGTTTCTGTTGTCTTTGAGTTGGTGGCGGAATCGTGTTCGACTTTTCCGATTCACTTCCGGACCTCCTTGTGTTCCATTCTGTGACTTTCTCTTTCTCTTTTCGCTTCTCTGGTGGGCTTGCCGTTTTCTCTGCCGTATAAACGGCATCTTGAGTTTGACAATTCCGAAGCTTGTGGTTTCCCATTCCCCATTGCTTCTGATTCGTGAGTCTCGGTTGGCCACAGGCAAATCGTTCAGGATTTGGAGGGTTTCAGGCCCGCAACGTCCCCGGACCAGGCCTTTTCTGAACCAACCTCTGCGCCCCTCTATTTTTAGGGTCGTCAGGCATCAGTGAAACCGGCAATGCTGAATCGCAAGCGCAGGGCCAAAGTGCCCGCCATGAAGCGTCGACGACACTTCACTGCAAGACTGAAGATTCTTGCCACCTGCACTGAAGTGACCTTGAGGACATGGAGAAGGCTGTGAAGCCGCCGGTTGTCCATGACACGGCAGATCTGGTTCCCACATCAGGCCACCGCGCTGGATTTCGAACCCAGATTCCAGTAGGATGCTGTATCTTGAAGTGGACTGTGCATGATGTCACCCGGCACCTGAACGTGTGCTGGAGGTGATCCTCACCAGTACTCTGGCCAGGGAACTTACAGGCAGGGTCGGGATGGAAGTCGTTTTTCGGTGCATTGGTGGAATCCTCTACACGTGGCCCATGCAGTTACTGGCACTACGACACCGTCCGCGAGCCGACTTTCCCTCGGAAGACGGGCGCCCGGCCGTATGTGTCGTGTCGAGATCTTTGAAGAATTGGGATAGCACGGCCCCACAGTCACAGTCTGCTTCCCACAGCATGCCCGGATGCCCCATGTTGTGCAAGTAGCGGCGTTGTCGCGCCATGTCGAGCGCAAAGTCAGGCCTGACGTCGCCAAGGGAGAGCTTGCGTCTGGTGCCACCGCACATGGCCCAGCTGGGATTGTCTGCCCTGGCCCACACAACGGTCCGAATGCTTGGGGATCTGTATGAGCTACTCGTAGATTCTCGCAAGCGTGCTTAGCCAACCCTGTCTGCTCAACTCTTGTGGCACCGGAGCGTGGAACACACGTGGTCAAAGCCTCCTTTCCTTCGGCGCAGGAGGGTTTAGCAAGGTCCATAGCACTGGTAGTAATCTGAAATGCAGTTTGCAAGTCAGTGGTTTGTGATCGCGAGCACCATTGCATGGGGCTTTTTGCCGCATGCTGCAAGGGCCGACCCAATCAGCAATGAGATTCCACTGACTTGTCAAAATGCATCGGCTGGGGGGTTCCCCCTGGCTTTCATAGTCTGAACTGAAATCATTGTCTTTGATTAGCAGTGTCGAACATGAGTCTTGGAAGTCGTTCTGGGGCCACGTGTAGTGTGCATGTGGAGCCAGGTCACTCGCACCGACGTTTGGCACGATCCGAAGGCTTGTGACGAACCCATGCTTCCAGGCGGCTCCGTGATCGCGCTGTGTTGATGTGGTGGTGGGCAGGAGCCTGCCATCGTCTCCGTTGCCAAGTTCTCACCTGAGAATTATCGGCCCGTCGGGGACCTAAGGTTCGTTACACAGGCGCTGAGCACCTCCTCATAGCCAGTTCGGGGTTGCCCCCAAAACAGAAGCATTCTAGCAGTCGTCGCCATGTGTGACTGAATTTGTTCGAAGAGCAAGTGGTGTCATTTCAAGATCCAACAGCTGGCGATTTGTGAGGTGGGCTTTGCAGAGAATGCGCCTATGCCCACCAGCACTGTCCCAGAGGGGGCCTTGGACTTCCGAGCAGGGGCCTCAGGGCTTGGGGCACGTCACGGAATGTGCGGGGGTTGCTCTTCCAACCTTGGACATCGGGTGCTGCCTCAACAACGCAGGCCAAGCTTCTCAGCCTAAGCCCACCAAGCCAGATTCACACAACTCGCGAAGCCCGTGGACCGAACTGCGCAGAATGCTAACCTTGCAGCTTGCAGACCAGGAGAAAAACCACGGAACGGAACTCCGCGGCAGCATCTCAGAAAGCGACAGGAGCCAGGCCCAGGGACAAGAGGTGCAGGGAGCGCTACCCGTCAGGTGGTGTTGTCCACTAAGAAACACCCAGGGCTGTAGGTGGAACGGTATGAAGAACTGCTGCAGAACACCGGCGAATGCTGCGACTCAAACGGGCCCGGAAACGACTCGGGAAGAGACCTCCCAACCACAGCGCGGGCAGAGGTGGCGGGTTCTTGAACAGCGAGTGTCTAAGCATGTCTAAGCCTTTGGTTTACAGTAAAAAACCTGGTGCCGACTGTAGCCAGTTAAAGAGACTGGCCGACACCATCGCGTTCTCGGTTGTGCAAGGCACATAACTGCAGTGCACGTCGCATAAGGCCAACCGTCTCCCGATCGGGCATGCAGATCGCCGACCCTTCATATATTTCATGACGGCGCGGGGGTCTGAGATGCTCCAGTTCGCAGGTGTGAAGTCCGACTGCGCAGACACATGCAGACACCATCTTCCGGGTCATGGGAGAGTTGAAGAAATTTGGGGGCGGAGGGCTTTTTTCTCGGGAGAGAAAGGCACTACTGGCTGCCTTGCCTCAGGGGCGGTGCCGTGATTGCCGCCTCCATGATCCGCGCCATGGCTGGGAAGCTCATCTTGACGCTCTGGCCTGCCAAGGACATCGCAAGAAATCTTTTCCTTGAAATGCCCATGATCCACATCATGCAAAAACGAACATGTTTGCCATCATGGTCGATTTTGCATTCGGCGTTCCTTCTTTGGGCTTATTAGTGCACATTTCACACAATGGCCTTCAAGTCAATAGCCTGCCGTTGTTGACATGGGCTTACCCAATCGGCCTCCTGCAGGATGTGTTCGCTGCTGGCATTGTTGAGGACGGACGGGGTTAAGAGCTGCACATACAGGATGGCGGCTCGCGTAGCCGTTTGAAGAAAAGGTTGTGCCCCCTGCCATTCAACAAGCCATGCGTTTGATTGCTGGCGAGGTGGATCTCAGGCCCATTCGAATGGGGCAGAACTTCACAGCGGCTTCCT